AACTTGCTCTGCTTCTTGCTCTGGATCCTCTCAAGCAACAATGTTGAGGCAGCGAGGTGAGAAAGGACTGATCTGTGATCAACACCTGGATCTTGCTCATGGCTGACATCATTTTCTCGACTACACAGAAGGCACCTCATTTTTTTAAAAACAGCTCTTCCAACCATTACTGGTGACCATTCTGGTAATTTTCAAAGGATTAAATAAATATATAATGTTTTTCAAAAAGACCTGTGTGTGAACCTCTGATATTAATAAACAAGACTGTTAACAGCCTGTTCCTGATTTTTAATAAAAACAGATATTCTAACTAAAGGAGATTTTTTTAAAAAATCAAAAGGTAGTGAAGATGCACAAATGGCACCAAAGCAAAGTATTTCCTAAATCAAGTGTGTTAGCAGTTCAGAATGCACAAGTTGCCTTCACTTGGATATTCTTCTCTCCAGCTGTAAAACCTAGTTGAAACATTCCAAAATTATGTGTATTACATTGGGGTCTACAAATGGTAGACAAGTTTCTGGCAGGAGAGTCCAGAGAGAAATTTACTGTTCAATAGTGGTATCAAGTTAAAAACAAGACTCATCATGGGTATTTTATGAGGAAAAAAAGAAATTGGGTTCATGTGAGATTTTTAATATTTAAAAAAACAAACTTTACTAAAAGGCTCTCAGCTAACAGACAACAAAGAAGGTGAGTTATCTAAAATGTGTTACATAACCACAGTGATGAAGTCAGTTCATTGAGTTCATAGATCAAATTTATTAAAAATTATCCATCCTCTACCTATCCAAAGAAAATACACATTCTTTAAAATTTCTTAGGAATAAAAACTGAGATTTTCCTAACTGTGGTAATGACATAAGTGCTTAGTGCAGATTCTTAGGTCTTCTTAGTTGTCTTAGAAGCTTTACTGCCCAAGTTAAAAGAATATTTGCATCTCAGCACAAAACAGATGAAAACTGTTGAATCTGTAAGATTGATAGTAACTTAAAGACGTCTGCAAGACTAGAAGCAAAAAAATTCAAATAACAGTTTAAGGAATCTTCCGTTTCTTTCCTAGATATACTCTGGAAATCTGCAGATTCAGTTTTCAAAATCAGAAAATGAATGTGTTTGGAAGCATATGGAGAACAGAATTTTTTTCCCATCATATACATGAGACAAATTAAAAGCAGAAAACTCAAGAGAAAAAGCTGCAGTAGATCAAAAACTGTAGATAACACATCAAAATCCAAGAAATCTGGCAGAGAACACTAATTTGAAGATAAAAGTGGAAGGAACTCAGACACAAACTTATCTTTCAGGAAAACAAGTACTTGAATTTAAACTGGCAAGATGTCAAAATATTAAATCACCCCAGTAGCTCTATCTGGAATTTAAATAAAGTACTGAAGTGAAATGCCACTTTTACTATTTCAATTAGGAAACATTTCTTCATTGTACTTATTGCAGTATGAACATGCAAACATGTACATACTTGAGCACTTCATCTCCTCTGAACTTTTTAGAGAAATTTATCACAATATATCAAAAATAAGGAAAAAAAATAACAGCGAAGGTTATTTTTATCAAAGGGTCTGGGCTTCAGGACTGAATTAACTTTTTCATTTACTACTCCTCCTTAGCCCCACCAAATAAGCACAGTCTAATCCTGTAAGTAGAAAACCCAAGGAAAATACTTAACAAACAAAACAGCTGAATGCCTAGAAAGTTCAAATGGAAAATAACTGACTAGACACTCTCCAAGTTATTAAAAGTAACTGCTGGTACCCACTATGGAGTTATAAATTCTGTTCTTTACATTCATTTCCAGGAATATACACTCAAGACCACCTACTACATAATACAAACTAATAAATACACTCCAGATGCAAACAGATTTGTAACCATTTTAGCAGCTTTGTCTAGAACTCTTTCTATTACACATGAAGCCGATGAATTACTTCATCAGCTCCCTTCCTCAGTAATAAAAAAAATCAGTTCATTAAGTACAATTACTATCACAACAATTTACATTTTCCAGTTTCTACACTTTTAAAGCAGAGCACATTTCCCAGCAGAAAAAAAATTTATCTGTTTACAACCCTCTTATCATAATCAATTTAAATAAGCATTGTTCCAGCTAGACTTTATTCTCTCAGATGATCTTTTATAAAGGCTTCCAAAATTCAAAAACAAGTTTCAAGTTAAACAACTCTAAAATTTTGTAATTGTCAACTTTCTACTATCCTAAGCATCTTCAGTTTGCTAAGCATGGCATATACACAAGCACGAAGTATTGTATTACAGAGCCTCCTTGTCAACAAGCACAGGTAAAAAGCTGACCTGACACCTGAACAGCTTTAGCAAGTCAGACAACACAGAAGATGCACTTTAAGGTTATGACAGAAGGGAAAAACTGAAACAAGGAGGGCAGAATTGGGAACTTGCTCACAGACATTAAGCTGAAATAAGCTGAAATCTTAGTTTTGGGAAAATAAGCAGGGAGAGTACAAAAGCAGTTCCATGCACATGATCTACCACTGCTGACAACCTTTGGAGTTTATTGAGTTACTACTGCTGACAAGGTGCCAAAGCAAGAAATTTAGGAACATGCAAAATAATCTGAGAATCAGGAAATTAACTCAAATTGGCACTATCACTTCCAGCACAAATCTCTTCAGCAGTAGAGCTTCTATTCTACTTTTTTAATTTAGGACCAAGTTAAAAATATCCCTACTGCCAAATTATTATAAGACTTTACCTGAAACCTTGATCTATACAGGTACGCCTATTCACATGCATATGATGTCAGCTAAATAAGAGCAGGAAAAAGCTGTCTCAATGTTCCTAGAATGCCTTTTGGCAATGATTGTGAACTTGGAACAGCTGTCCCAGCTTTAGTACTTACACTCAAGGAATGCAACTCTGCTCTTCAAGGTAAGACACACACACACACAGACCCCAAAGCAAAGTGTGTAGGGGGATGAAGCCAAATTGTATATTCATTGAACAGGAGAAGATAGATTACACAGCCAGACCCATCTGTTCATAGAGTAACCAGAAGAGTGGGTTTTCACTTTCAGGTTACTCAAACATCAATTTGCTACAAATGTTTGTGCGCAAGAGACCACAACAGGAAGTATGAACATGGTCATGAGAAAAATGATGACAAATCCATAAAATAAAGTGATGCAGAGCAATGCAGTCACAAAGCACAAAGGCCAACAGTTCCAAGTGTCTTTCCTGGTCAAGAATTTGGATAGGCTTGTTCTTATTACAAGGGGAGAAGAGAGGAGGAAGGTGGTGGGAATTTTACCCAGGACTACTTTAACTTGCAAGTATGCACCACAGAGAGAACAGTGGAATAGTAAACCACTCAAAGAGGGCACTGTAAAAATTTGGGCAAAGAAAACCTTGGAATAAAAAAAGTAAGACCTGTTTCTAGAAACATTACAATACATACCGTGTATAACATCTACCATTATCAGGCAAAGAATTTTTAGGACTGACATACCACATACCAACACTAAACAGAAGCAAACCAGAAACAAGCTCCATTTTTCTGAACACCATGTAAATTCTGTTTTCACATGTGTTGCAGAGAGATGCAGAGTCATTGTGTTTCAAACTATGAGTTTCAAGCTACCTGTAGTTTTCCCAGAGCAGAACACCTTCCCACTCTGATAACTTTGCAGCAAGTTTACATCTGTTTGCCACCCAAAGAGACATCAAATTTACAGTAGTTAGTGAAAGACTTATTTTAGCAAAAGTGATAGTGACAGCTGGTGAGCTCTCTTTCATTATTCTTCACAAAGGTATGTTTCCTATAATGCACAAATATTTTTTTTAAAATTTTACATTACAGCATATTGACATTTCCTTAAATAGAGAAAGAGTTTTGATGACTATCTGCTTTCAAATCTGTCATACCAACACATCCTTCATTCAAATAGCTGTATCTGCAAAGAAGTATCTCTGTTGCTAAGGGCTACCTAAAATAAATGCCTTCACAGGTCCACCAAAAAGAAAAGCATCTAAAAGCACCAATTCACCTGACAATTTCTTCCACAAACTCTAAAAGAGAAACTTCAGAGGTCCCACAACGTCAAAAATGAGGTGCAAGTCTTCAAACCCAAATGCCTACCATTTACCAGCATGTTGTCAAAAATATTTAAGCATCTATTCTAACATAGGTTAGACACAGAAAAACTTTAAATTTGGTGGTAAAGCCCTATTTTGCCTAGTTTAGTACTTTAAAGTGTGACACAGCAAATTTACTACACTACTCAGAACACAGTTCACTATTAGCACACAATTTTCCACTGTCACATTCACAGCCATTCATTTTAAGTGAGAATTGATACATACTTATTTTACAGCTGTTTCCACGGTTTCGGCTAGGGCAGAGAATAATTTTGGACAAGTACAGAAGATAATACGAAAGAATGCACTCAATACTCAGTTTTAACCTCGCTAACCTGCACACCCATATAATTATAAGGTTCCAACAAGAGCCCATTACCTCTCTCCCTTGTCTAAGAGCGGCCCTACTAGCCAAACCCGTGAGCCAATATAAAGCGAGCAACTCATGCAGAATAATCCTTCCAGCGTTGGTTACATGGGGAGGAGACCCTGGACATTCCCAGCCGCAGAACGCCCGCACTTTCCCTATGAGCACAAGCGCTGCCCCGAAGAACACCGAGATGGAGTGACAGGGTGCAAACATTATGTGTTTACGCTCTGTAAACACGCGGGGCATTTCCCCCCTCACCCTGGCCTTTCGGCGGAGGCACACGGAGGAGCTGAGGGATACGCGAGGAGCCATCACGTCCGTCCCTCCCCGGTCCCGGCCGGCCGGAGCCGTGCGGCCGGCGGGGGCGCAGCAGCCGCTGGGCGAACGGGGGCTGCCCGCTCCGCTCCGCTCCGCTCCTCCCGCCGCCTCGGCCCCGCTCGCTCCCCTGCCGTGCTCCTGGGCCGCGGGGGAGCCCCAGCCTGCCCCGCCCCGGCCCTTCCCGTACCTGCGCGGGCGGCGCCGCCCGCTGAGCCCCGGGGAGGCGCTGGCTCATCCTCCCTCCGAGCGCCAGCGGGACACGGGCACAGCCCCCGGACCCGCGGCCGCTCCGCCGCCCGGCACCGCCCCCTCGGCCCGGGGAGGGCGGGGATTCCCACCGCGCAGAATCGGCGCCCGTCGGGCCGCCGGGGTCAGCATCGCCGTCACTGCTGATTCTGCTTCCCGCGGGCCGCCGGCGCGGCCCCCGCTCCCGCCCTCCGCGGAGGGGCGCGGCTTCCCGGCGGCGCGGGAGGGGCCCGCGCGGGCTCCCGCGCTGCGGGGGCGGGTTGAGGGCCCAGGGGGAGGCAGGACGGTCCCGCGCTTCAGAACGGGGCGCCGGCGGTTTCCCAGGTAAAGGAGGCGGAGAGAGGCCGGGTACATCGCGGCATCGTTCCGCTTCGGGCTACACTGTGCCGCCTCTAAATTCCTGGCGCTGCGGAGACCCCGACAGCTTAAGGGGGTTACCTGCAGAGAAAGCGCAGGTGTCGGGCCGAGCGCGGAGTTCCTGGGTACTGCCAGCCGAGGTGCTGAGGCCAGTGTGGGGTCCGCTTAACACACAGCGATTGCAAGTTCCAACAAAACGGGTCAAGTCAAGGGGTGGGTTTATCTTTTTTTCCCTAAGTAAAATGCCCGCTGGTCCGCTTATGTGCAAGCCTAACAAGCCCGCAAGGCGCCGTGCCCTGTGGCACTCGGACTGAGAAAGCGCATTGTGAATCACGAGGCTTTTTGCCCGTAGGTGCTATTAAAGCGCGCTTTGGAGTGGCGAACGGAGGAGCCACAGGTGCGTCCCGACCCTCCCGGGTAAGCGCTGCGCACAGCGCCGCCGGGTCACGCTTCCCCCTGGGACCCCCGGGGCTGTCCCGGGGCAGACACGCCACCGGTCCGGGCTGTAGCTGCTGTGGCTCGCGGGTCGCTCCATAAACACTTGCGGCTGTTCTGGGAGGGTTTCCCCCAAAACACTGGCACCCGCGCGCGCCCCGCCCGTCACGTGGCCGCGGCCGCGCGTTACCAGGGTGAAGTGCCGCTAACGCGGGCAGGGCCGGGCCCCGCCCCAGTGCGGAATCGCCCAATGGGAGCCAAGCTGCGGGGCGGGGCAGCCAATAGGGGCGGAGGGGGCGGGGCCTTGCCAGGCGCGAGGCCAGGTTGGGCAGTGGCGGCCGCGCGGGCAGGTATGGCGGGGTGGGGGCGGGCTGGGCGCAGGGAGCGCGGAGGCGGGCTGGGGCTGGGGCCGCCCTTCTGGGAGCCGGGCAGGTCGCGGATGGTCCATCCCAGCCGCCCTGGGGTGGCGGTTCCGGGCCGCGCCTCTCGCCCCGGCGCTGGGCTTGCTCTGGCTGTGCGGGGGCGGCGGCCTGGCGGGGCCCGCTTGCGGAGCGCGGCCCAGCTCGGCCCCTGCCCTGCCCTGGCCCTCCCCGCACGCGCGGCCCTGGCCTGGCCGCCGCCGGTCGGTCGGGCTGCCTCGGGGTGTGACTTGTGCAGCTCTCCTGTGTGTCCCATGAACTGACTTGCTGCCCTGGGCTTGAAAAGACGACGCCCTGTCAGCGCTGATCTCCTTCCTCTAAACGCCTATTTTTTCCTTGCCACATTTAAAAATAAGCTATGTAAGTAATGGAAGATTATATACCCGCTTTGACTGAGCTGTAACTTCTTGCCCAAAGGCTGGTTACTGCCCATTTGTATTTGCACGGGACAGCATGCAGAAGCAGCCCTAAGCTACATCTAATGTAGCTGTTTTAACTGTAGAACAACTCTGGTTTCATAAAATAGGGTAGGAACAGAACTTAGTAGAGTCATGCGAAGTTCAAATTGTGTCACGCCTGCTGTGCTTTTACTGTTGCCTGAAAGAGAATATTGAAGTTAGTACCAAGATCTTCTTAAGTTTAAAAGTGCAGCTTTATATTAAGCTGTCTTTAAGTACTATAAGAAAAAAACAACCTTACACAGACACTTCAGGCCTGTAATTTTAACTTTTTACTTTACTGGTAGATATGCTTAGTCTTAGTAAGCTTTGCATCTCCTCTTTTGCAGAGCAGGTTACTTTAGATCTCTCTTGTCTTGCTATGCTTCTCAGGCTTGTTCATGTTAGTCTGCTTTCATGGTATAGTTCCTGTTAAGCAGCATCTGTGTCTAGTACATGGTAATTCTGTACAAAAAACAAAACAAAAAAAAACAAATTGAGGAGTGGCCCTGATTGTGAGACCTGTGATGCATGTGAAGTTTGGATCTAAGCTACTAGGATCTCCTGTTGGAAGGAAGCTGGATACAGCAAAGCAGAAATGCAATTAGCAAGTGAGGCTTAAGTGAAGAAAATCTTGGAACACTTTTGTCTTTTTCAGCTTATGGAGACTTCCTCAGGGTATGGAAGCTCTTTTTACTTTAAAAAATACAATCTTTTAGTCTACTGTGAATTAGCTCAGACATTTGTCACTTTGGTCTTTGTTTTGCCCTTTCATCGTGCTATTCTGACACATTTGTATATTACCATAGCTTCTGCTTGCACCTCCCTAGTGTCCTGTTTTTACAAAAAGTAGTTCTTAATATAGAACCCTAAACACCATAAAAATTCACCTGAGTACTCCTTTTTTTATTCTGAAAAGGTAGTCTAAATGGTCAGATAGTACATGAAAAATAGGGATTTGTGATATTTTATGATTATTTGTTTTATATGCAATGTGAAAAGAGTCTTTCAGTCAGGCTTAAGGCCACATCTCTCTGTATTGAATAATGATTTGAAATATGATAGGGATCTGCTGAATTCAGGCCATTTTTGGCTTCACTGTAGTGATAAGGAAGCTGGATTTAGTGCTTCTTAAGAAACAATACATAGGAATTCCTCTCACCTCCATTGTGTTCCTTCCAAGTCAAGCTGAACAAAACATTTTCAACCAGGTGCTATAGCTCTATGATGTTTGTGTGCCAGCTGCATCAGAAGTCTTGGCGCTGATTGCACTGATTTATTTAAAGACAAAACAGATCCTTTTTAGTCAAAATGAAAGATGTAACAGGTTTTAGTTATGCAGCCCCTGTTGGCTCAAAATTAGTCAACTGTACCAAAATAGAATTGAGACTAAGGGTATATGATCTACAGAAAATCAACTGAAGAGACAAATGGATCAACATTTTGAGTTAAAAAAAAGTACCATGCCCTGATCAGGCTAGATCACTAAGCACACCTAATTAAATATACTCATGGGGGTTTTTTGTGTTTGTTGGTTTGCTTTTCCAGTACTCAAGTAAGGATGCCTTAAGACAAGAACTATGGATAAATATATCAAAGTACGGAAGATTGGAGAAGGATCCTTTGGGAAAGCAATACTTGTCAAAGCTAAAGAGAATGGCCAACAGTATGTCATTAAAGAAATAAACATCTCTAAGGTAAGTGATTATTATTAATAAATTCCTGATCCATTCTTTTTGTATTTCTGTTCTCACAAATCATGATTTTTATTCTGAAGATGTCAAATAAGGAGAGAGAAGAATCAAGGAGAGAAGTTGCTGTTTTGGCAAACATGAAACACCCAAATATTGTCCTGTATAGGGAGTCATTTGAAGGTAAGATGAACTTGAAGTAACATGAGTGACTCTGTGTACTTCTTACTGCACTTAGTCTAAAAGTCAGGGAGTTTTCTCTCTTTGATCAGTATTTTTCATACCTTTATTACTTCAGTTATTTTCCATATTTTTTTCAGAATTCCTATTTGTGTTTAAAAAAAATCATAATTCAGGAAAAAGGGCAGCAAATAAACATTTATGACTATAACTTTACATGCCTTGGTTTTGGCTGATGCTTAAATGAAAGATATTCTCTTGTTTCTCCAGAGCATAAGTCTCCTTGAATATACCCTAGCAACTGGAATGCTTGTATAGGTTAAATTTGTGTAGGTTAAATTGCAGTCTAAATTTGGATATTGATAACCTAGCAAGAGCAGTTTTATGCCCAAGTCCGTTGTCTTAAGAGTTCAGACTTCAGTAACTGCAACCATATAGCTGCTTTCAGAGCTGGGAAAATAGATGAGACTGTTTACTTCATCAGGCAGTGAAGGAAGGAGAAATCAAATTCTACATTGTCTTCACAGTGAATGTCTTGGGAAAGGGAAGGACAGAAAAAAGATTCCAAAAGCTTATTATAAAAGTTAAAATATTATTAAAAGCTCCTAAATATTATTTGAACTGCTGTTTAGAGATTTTTTGCTCTTCTCCTTTCCTTCCTTTCTGCTTTCTTATGTCTTTTGCCTGGGGCTTTCACTTTCTCTTTTCATTAAATTAGATTTTTGTGATATAATCATATCAGCCACATAATCAGCCACACTTCTGGTTTATAAATGTACACTGCTTTCTTCATTGTGGTAGAAGGCTATTCTTTAAGACTGCTTTTTTCTTACAAGGTAGATCCTGTAATCCATAATTCACAAGACTTTGTGTTGCATCTTTATTGCCAGAAAACATTGACTTTGAATACATTGAATATAAAGTTCCTAGAAGAAAATTATTTCAGCAATAGATGTGCAAGAAATCTAGACTTCTAGAATAATTTTTTAAAATAACACTAATTAAAGATAATAATAAAATAACTAAATAGAGAAACTTTAAGTATTTGATGTTTTGAAAGGCAGATTTCAGAAGCATTCCATGGGAGTGAAATTTCAGTGACTTAGATGATTCAATTTATTTTAATTCAAAGGTTTTTAAGTGTTGTGACTAACTTTTTCATAAAATAGGAGTTCTTTTTCTTTTGAGCAGCATGTGACTGATTTTCTGCAGTTATTCATCTCTTCTCAAAATCATGCCTAGTATGTGAGTAGTGTAGTTCTTACGCTTTTGGCAACTTGCAGTTTGCTTCTGCCTAATCTGTTTTTTCATCAGTAACTGGGAAAACCATAACTTTGAATGAAATGTATTATGTTTGTTCATACCTCCTACTGAAAACTTGCATGGGATATTTTTTAGTCTCATGAGATTTCATTCAAATATGAGAAATGAATTGTTTCCATCTCATTGTCTGCTGGAAGTTCTCTTACTGTTCTTCAGACTGAAATAAACTGCATGTCTAGTATGAAAGCTGATGGCTGTCATGTTCTAGCAGGTCCAGGTAAAAGTCC